CGATAGGTCCCACAAGTCCCCTTAGCAGGAGCCAAGTCTAGTGGTTTTAGTACCAAAATGGGCCGAATTACATTCATTCTCTCTCTGTCTCCTTCTTGGAGCCCCAAACCCATTCCCAATGCAATAATAGAGCTCAAAAAAGTCCAAGAGAGGAGGATAACTAAATCACAAAGAATCTGGATTTATGGATACTACATCTTTGACATCTCTTGAAAGTGAAAGGGTTAGCTGAATTTTCAAACATTTTCATGATTATGTTCTGGTGAGCCCTTAATACAGAAAATTTTACATTTTAAGCCCAACCTGCGTTGTTGGGGAAGTTGTGGCTTTGCCAGGTGACCACATCTGACATTTTATTGGCAGCCTTTCCCTACCTTCTCCTTCCATGTTGCTCACCACCTGAATGTGCCTCCTTAGACAAATATTAAATGTGTCTCACAGATGATAGTGACAATACCTTCATTCATAATATCCCTAAATTGCTTCCACTTTCCCATTATAAAATATGCCTTTTTTTAACCCCATTATCATCATTATCTTATCATAAAATTATTTTATAAAACAGATTATATGTAATTTATCTTGTAAAATTATTTAAATGTCATTGAAAAAATAAGAAAAAATAAAATTAAAAATATTTAAATAATTTTATAAGACAAACTACATAACATTTAAATAATTTTATAAAATAAACTATATATAATTTGTCTTGTAAAATTTTTTTTTGTTATTTTGTAATAATTACAATTTTCAAATAAAGATAGAAAAAGAGTAGATATTGGTGAAAAATGCGTTTGCCGGGAGTCGAACCCGGGTCTATTGCTTGGAAGGCAATTATCCTAACCGTTGGACTACAAACGCGTGGATGCTTGATGGGTTTCACTTCAAATATATTATTATAAGCTAAAACCCTTTGGTCTTCCAGAAAATAGCAAAACTCGCATGGTGTATGTAGAGTTCGAAAATTTCAAGTCCCAGGACCAATATTTTTTCCTGCTTTAGGCTTGGATGTCTAGAAAGCATTAACAAACACCGTCACATCAGAGATTCACAGGCCATAGCTTTCTAAACCTTGGTTATCCTGAATAAAATTCTGGGATTAAATTTATGTTTATGGTACAGGGACCGTGCCCATACAATGATCTCATTGGGTCTGACTTCCGAGATTTCACTCCCGTTGCTTTTGGTAGGCTTGCCTACCTGAGCTAAACTTGAGGATAAATACCCAAGAAAATCCACTCCCACATGATTACATTTGTATTTGTTGCAGCTCAAAGCAATGAAAAACAAAATCATGGTCACCTATGGTAACTTATTAGGATACAGGGGCATGTTCTTGGATTGCTGTTGCCAGTTTGTTCCGGTCTTCCTCTGTTTTTGTTCTAATTAAGAAGGTACGTGCCTCAACGGTATCATTACTTCCACTCTCATCCTACAAGATCCAAGAGAAGAATGCTGAATTATTTAGGAGTAATGACAAAGAGAATTGCTCTTGTTTTTCAATTCTGAATGTCAACCAAATTTATGATTCTGAGGTTATGAGACCACACCAGCTGATGGACTCATCCTAGTCATATTGAAATTGAAACTAACACTAGCAATGTCATTTTTATCAATTCCATGTAAGCCAATCAGAATAGAAGATGCACGATTACATCATCAACTAGTAAATTTATGCAAATTGAATCAGGAAAATATTCAGCTTTTGATTAAATTACCAAAGTATGAAATATTGCAACAAGGGAGTTCTTCTGTCCACTTGTCTTGATTCCTGGATAGAGCAAAGCGTTAAGCAGTATCTTTCCAACCTGCCATCAGAAAAATAAATGACTTGTTAGGAAAGTTGTGTCTTGCAGAGATCAATTTCTAAACTGCAGCATCCTTAGGAAACATACATCATTTCGAACAACAATTGTTGGTTTGGATTCTTTTGATCCCTTGCTAACACCCTCTTTGCATTTTATTGAAAGCTGTCCCGTGCCTTTATCTTTCCATGAATCTTTATCTGCTGGATCAGTTGGCTAGGGATAGCAAAAGGGGAAAAAGAAGTTACAACCTACAACTAATGCTGGCACCTTCTACCAGTAAATCAGACTGAATTAAAATAATAGAAAGTAGCATAAACTGGTATAACATGAGAAAATATTGTATTAATCTTACACATCACCTACTAACAGCAAATCACACAACCAATGGAGGCAATAATAAAAATCATAGACAACAAGAAATTTGATTTTCTTGTTACAGAGAAGCAGCCAGAGAGCAAAGAATTTTTCACAAGTTTAAGAAGAGCATCATCCTATACAATTTGCGGTGACACATACCTTGACATAAAGCTTGCATTTCACTTCATGAACCACAGTTATACCCTTCTCTTCAGACTTCTTTACTGATGGGCTGCTAGGCTGTGGCAACTCATCTTCTGAAACTCCAAATGACATTCATCATCATGTATCAGAATCAGACCACACACATATGAATGCAAAAAGATGAGTTCCCAGCACTCTCACAGAAACATGTTACAACCAAAGGGATGTACGCCCAGAGGCTGATCTAAATTGTGAATGATTAACTATAAGGAATCAAACAGAGAAACAAACAGAAAAGCAGCTACAGATGACACCCCCCCACCAGAATGCCTGATAGTATAGAGGTCTTGAGAAATGATTAAAATAATTCGGTAATAAATGGAAAAATGTAGAGTTGTCTCACCATCGCCAGCATCAGCTGATGCACTAACGTTTGTAGAAACTAAGCCCTGACTTCCTAAAAAACCAAAGTAGGAAGCAAAAAAAATCAATCCCACATGAACCGATGAATAGTCAGATAAAACAATTAGGCGTGATGTTCAAGGGTCTCAAGGTGATCAACTAGTTTTTTAACTTAAGTGACAATGACACAAGAATCCTCCACAATTACACAGGCTCAAAAACTTTGCTAAAATGATGTGTGTCCCAAGGATAAGGGTACTAAATTACTTTACACAATATTATAGAACATAACCCTCTAATTATAATTAAGGTCCATCAACTTTAAAACTAGGCTCCAACTGAAAACTTTGTTTATTTTGAATACACAGCTTAAAAATCTTAAAATCTATGGATTCATGACCAAATCTCTATAAGCACTTCACTAAGTAAGAAGATATGGTACGTACCAAATGAGATAGGAGTACTGCTTGAGAATACTCCAGAGCTCCATGAAGTTGCCAAGCCTGTATTTGTACCAGATGGAGTAAAGCCGGCTGTCATACCAGCACCAGTAAAGCTCGTAGTCATAGTTGTACTTGTTGTACTAAAGCTCATATTTGTACTGCCTGAAGTAAAGATTGAAGTTGTACCACCCATATTGCCAGATGAGGCAAAGGGACTTGTACCAAAGCTCGTATTCATACTGCTTGAAGAAAATGTTGAAGTTGAACCAAACGGAGCAAAGCCAGTCTTCCCCAAGTTCCCTTGAAACAATTTTATCTCACTATTCTTAACATCAGGCACCAAATTATTCTCCGTGCCATGATTTGCAACACTGGACAAGTTTCCACCTTTTACAGCATTTGCTTTGAGCCAATCGACAACATCACTAAACTTCTCCTATAAGAGAGGATCAATGTCATAAATCATTCAAATTAGCAGACAGAAGATCAAAAGTCATGTCTTTTGAATGGTTCGATCTTGAAGATCATTCCGAATAATACATTAACATTAGTCACAAAGAATCATAAACCATCAATCATTAGAAGAATGTTTTTTCTGAAATCTATCCAACCATCCAATGTACCCATAAAGTTCTAAACACATCTGTTGCCATTCAAAACAAACTTGTGGTGTGAAAACATTACCATAATATTGGAAGCATGAACAAGATAGTCTTGAACACCATCTTCCCATAGTTCATCAGGATGGTTCTTCAGTTGCAATTGCACCCAACTGCAGTGTAAATATGTAAATAAACACAATATACTTAATAAAAACTATAAACATTTTTGTTGCCCTTTTTCTAACCTTGCAAATTGATTATTGAGAGCTCTCACATGCTGTAGAGATGACTCAGCACGCTGAGGATCCAGCTGCGGTGATATAGTTGACTGCTGTTGAGATGGTTCTGCCCTTTGAGCATCAAATAGGGATCCCGCCATTATTCTTTTATTTTGAAACTACACAATAATTCGAAAATATACAATAAGCTTCCATAATTAATAACAAACAAGATAACCCTCTTTTTTTCTCACAAAATTCAGGATCACACTAACAAAGCATTTATGTAATTCAGAAAGAAAAAAACCATCAGCACCATAAATGCTAGTTTTCATGAATACCTAAATCTCCCCTCCAAATCTATTGGTTTAGGCCTATGAAATCCCTCAGCTAATATTCTATTTCTACACCATCAACCGACAAAAGAATTGAAGACAGCATACATTTAGATTAAGCAAGTAAAAATGTTTATATACAAATCATTACTAGAAAACCAGGTTCAAGCTCCTAAAAGTACATTTGAAGCTAAAAATAAAAACGAGATCATGTTGAAAACGAATCAGAACTAGCATTTATTCAAGTTCCGTGCTTTCTACTTCCCAACGAATGAAAACTAAAAACCCATCTCAACTAAACCTCATAATCCCGTTCGGAATTCCATTTTCTTCACTTTGGCATCGACACACAAAATTAGGACTAACAAAAAAAAGGCTCAAAGAATGAGGCAATGAGAAGAATTTCAGCTGGAGTACAACCGAGCACAGGGAAAAAAAAATCTAGCAAACGAAAACAAGGGAAAAACATGGAAACTCACGGCGGAATCGGTGGTGTCCGGCGCCGATTCCGACAGGCCAAAGCGTTTAGCTCCTTTCATCGTGAATGGGC